AAATATACAAACATTGAATACAATCATGTTAACGTAGCAAAGCTGCAGTAAATCACTTTTGAAAAAAATAATAATAATAAGTTAACTGTTGTAGTAGACAAATGCTATAAAAAAAAGAGAGAACGAAACGGAGAAACGCAGCAAGCTAACAGGCTTGAATAAAAAGAAAGGGAAAAAATATGCATTGGTGCACAAATGCATAAGCATTCGCTGAAAACTACAACACTGACTAACAGCTGTTATTCGCTGCTTTTAGAGTTAGTGTTTGACGCAGTTCGCAACCGTTTTAATTGAACTGATTCTGTGGGGGTGATTGCGCAACCTGATGCTCGCGAGTCGCATCAGAACAGATGTAGTGCGACTGTCCCGAAGTTAGCAAACAAACAGTTTACACAATAGCACTTCATTAAACTATACCATTTTCATATGATGAGGATATACGGGTTTTGCTTACCGTGCTGATGTTTCGCCTTCATCCGTAACACCAGTGTGTTTTCTTTTCATGTGCTCGTGCATCACTGTGGTACTTCCATGCCACACAAGCTAAGCTTTGCATAGCTTGCAGGTAACAGTCTTCTGTGTTGCGTTTAATATAAAATGCTCTAAAGCCTTGGATGACTTGGGACGCACACTTTTTCCTGCTGCCGGTTGATCTGTACTCTCCGCCATATCGCGTACGTTATCTTGCCGTCACGAACGGCTGTCATGTGCGTGGGTAAAATTTACCCGCTGGCGCTTTTAGGTATACAGCGACCCCTGGCGGTTCTAGTGTTAAATAGATGGTGCTAAGGCGTGCTCAACAAAATAGTGCTTTTAGAGATGCGCTGATATTAAAGTTCTGACTGGTAATTATTTTTAAGCTACGGCTATACCGATAAATAAATAAAAATGAAATTGAAATGATAAGAAATTTTTTTTTTTAAATCACAGTTTCCTCAAAAATATTAAGCAGCACACCTGTTTTCAGTACTGATAAAATAGATTTTAAATTGTAATAATATTCCACAATATTATTGTTTTTCCTATATTTTCATAAAATAGAGACTTCTTTCAAAAAGATTAAAATATCTGACCCCAAACTTTTTTAAGTAGTACTTTGCTAAATACTTTATTAAGTTACTTAATGGACAATTTTGGACATGTTTTAGGTTGACTTGAAATAAAAATGCAAGCTATTTGTAGTTCTGCTTTACTGTGCACAGTATATAGTTATATATATTTTGATATAAGATATATATTTTGTGGGTAATTCTGTTGCAGAGTTGTAGTTAGGGATGATAATGTGCAATAAATACTGTTGACAGTTGCAGTCTGTACCTCTGCTGCAAAAGGAGACATGGACCAATGCCACAGGCAACGACGGAAAGTGAAAGGGAAACACTGTGTGTGTGTGTGTGTGTGTGTGTGTGCGTGCGTGTGTGCGTGTGTGCGTGTGCGTGTAAGCTCCTAAAGTAGGTCCACATGTCTCTCCCAGTTATGCCTAAATAGCAAAGGTCAAGGTTCCTGAATCTTAGGCCACGAACCTTGACCTTTTGTTATTGCACATTTCCCTCCGTCTGCCAGATCTTCTGTTCTCTCACACACAGACTCCGATTCTGTATTATCATCATCCATGGTCCAAGAGACAGCCAACCAGCATGTTTTAATATGCGTACATGTATGTACAGATACCGATATACATCCTAAATGTGTTCCGTCACACTCACATACACAAACACACACACACCATTGCATTAGATTCATGTGAGTGCTGGTTAAGGAAAGCACTAAAACATGTATAAGATGAGATTGTGAAAGCACAATAGTGAAGAGCATGCATGATGAATGATGTCAATGTGCATAACTCTGAGCCTGCATTGTCTATGCAAATGGGTTATTGACATAATAAGCTTTTTGTTTAGTGGATCATACATGAAAGCACAAAAGTCTGTTAAAATTGTTCTTATGCTCTAAAAAATGCTGGGTTAAAAACAATGCTGGATTCGTTTTAAGCCAGCCATTTAGTCATTTTTAAACAATAGTTGAGTTAAATAAAACTACCCAGAAGGTTGGGTTAAACATTTAAGTCGCTGGGATTGTCCATATTTCACCCAGCGCTGGGTTGTATTTAACACACCATTTTTTACATTGATTGTACATTGTACATTGATTTTGAATGGTTAATAAGATTAATTGTATCAACTTTTAGAAGAATACTAGCTATAGATTAGCCTCAAAACTAACAGACATGGACTACAAACAAAATGTACTTGTTTCTTGTCATATATCTAATAACGTCAAGTGAAGCTATGCTTAAAACAGATTTAACCATCTTACAGAAACATTTCACACAAATGTATAGCGACTCTTTTCTCTCTTTTTCCATCTTGGTTTCTTTATTCCTGTCTCTCTGTCTTTCACACATATACAGTCCTCTAATCTCTCTTTATCACACGTTCTCACACATTCTCACACATTCTCTGGCATTGAATTAGTGAGTTCATTGCTATGTAAAGGAGACCAGTGGGGTTTAACCTACTTAGTACGCCTTTTAATAATGTATGAGTGAGATTTGAGAGCCGTGTGCAGCACAATAAGGTATCTTCACTTGCTCTTTTTCGGTTTTGATCTCTCCCTCTTGCTGCCTCCTTTTTCTACTTTTTCTCTCAGTTTCTCATTCCCGCTTTGAGCGGTACCCCCATGATGCCCTGCATGCCTTCAGGGAGATTCATAATCCATATTCCATATGGGAGGATATTTGAATTAGATTTATTTGTGCAGTATTTCTATATCTGTTGTGTAGTCTGGAGGATGGATGGGTAGAGTCGAGCAGAAAGACGTGAGATAGGGTAATACAAATGGACTTGGAAGGTAAGGACAGATAGACGCTGGGATGGTGAAGCAGCAGACGTACTGATTACAGATAGACAGATTTCTTGCTCATCACTGGTTCTTCAGACAGTGTTTTTCCTCCTCCACCTCACAGTTCGTGCTCTCACATTTCCAGGTTATGCCCAGATAGATAGTGTTAATGAGGGATTCTGACAGACGGTCTGTGTGAAGATCCTGCTCTGTGTTCCTGAGGGATCTCCTCAGTTAACAAGCTCACTGGGGAAGACCTTGGCAGCATTTTCCCACGCTGTCAAGCCGAGTTCAGTGTTTAAGAACGGGCCCTGAGTGTTAAAATTGCAGTCTTTGCCTCTTTCTTTCTCTAATTTCTCAGTTTATTTGCACTCTGTCTGAGGTATGGTGTCAAACTGGATGTATTGTGATGTTCTAGATGTCTGTCAGCGAAACTTTAAGAATGGAGAATACATTCCTATGGTTAGTAAGACCAGAGAATTTAGCAATCATATCTAATCTGAGTGCGGTCTGTGATGTATCACACTGTATAATATGGGTTATTGGTTTTTCAATGGCCAGTACTGATAACGATATTTAGAAGGGTGGCCAATGAGTAGTCAGATTTTTTTGGGTGGAGATTTATTTCTGTGGAGATTTAGGGGAAATTCTGTGGAACATGATATTGTGTTGAACAGAGCTGAGGTGGTACCGATCATTCAACATTATGAATAATGGCCATTAGAACTGGTCCTTTGCAAAAGCTCCACCCTCTTGTTGCTAACTCAGACAAGCATTATAGAACATCCCATAGAAATGAACTGAAGGTTTCCAAACCTTTTCAGTAAACTGTGCTCATGATGTGTTAAAATAGTTACGATTCTTATGTGGGTTTAATGAATTAACATTGAAAATATATATTTTTTCTTTTTTTAAAAGAATGGTGAAATTAGTGACATGGTTAGTGATAAGCAAATGCTTCTAACAGTCAACTGAAAAGTGAATAGCCTCTTGTGAAAGCAGTTAGAAGTGATAGCAGAAGTTTAAGTCAACACAACTGTGCCTAATGTAACTACAATACGTTCTCTACTGGTAATGTGGACTCTTTAGTTACTATTGACACTAACATGACATGAATTAATATGTAAATTGTTAATTTAGTAACTGTAATTTACGTACTGTAGGAGCAACCGTCACACTGCACACTACCGTCCAAATGTCTGTGGTCAGTAAGATTTTTTTTTTTAAAGAAATTAATACTATTTTTTCAGCAAGGACACATTAAATTGATCAAATTTAACAGTAACGACATTTGTAATGTTGCAAAATGTAATTTCAGATTAATTGTTATTTTGAACTTTAGATTTATCAAAGAAAAAAATGAAATCACAATTGCTACAAAAATATTAAGCAGCGCTGTTTTCTGTTTTCAACATTGATGGTACATGTTTCTTGAGCACCAAATCAGCATATCAGAATGATTTTTGAAGGATCATGTGACACTGAAGACTGGAATAATGGCAGCTTTTAAAATGATATTTGAAAGTATAATAATATTTAATATTCAAATAGAAAACAATTATTTTTATTACAGTTATTACAGTTTTTACAGCATTCCTGATCAAATAGCAGCTTTGTTGAGCATAAGAGACTTTAAAAAAAAAAAAACGTTTGAATGGTATAGATGTTCTTTTAGGAATGAAGACTGACACATAATTTAATCCACACCATGTACTTATCAGGAATTATTTAAAGATTTGGAAAAGCATGTATGATATAATAACAGCAAAATAAAATTAAATGAAAAATTTTACTTTATTTAAAATATTGGTAAACAGCAAAAGTGCATTATCCATTGACTAGACACTTTTTTGGGGCCGATATATATTTGTCACAACTCTATACAGAAGGATTTAAAATGCATGCACGCAAACACATCTGACAACTAAAAAATGTCCTCTTCTCTGTTCCTTTCCACTCTTTTTCTGTCTTTCCTAGGTCACTGTGTTGGACTGCCTCGTTTGGACAGGTTTGACCCGAGAGCAGTTTGTCACCCCCGGAGCACTGCTTCTCATTTCCTCTTGTGTCATATCGCCCTAGTCCGTCCTGCTGAAACCGGGTGGATTTGAGTGAGATCAGGCTCTTGTGAAGAGTAACAACCCTGTCAAACAGTGCTGGAATTTACTCAACACACTTTTATTCCAAGAGAACTTTGGGATTGTATCCAGAAAGTTACATAACACCAAAACAAAGAGCGCTACACCTGTGAGCCGTACACTTTGATCGAATGGCGTCATAACCACTCACACGCACCCTGGATCACCAGTCATTAACCTGTTTCTGTCTTACAGCCACAATAGCAAGCACTCGCACAGACAATCGCAGACAAATCTCTCCTAGCTGGATTACCAAAAGTAGCTCATGATGGGAAAGTAGACATCCGGCAACACGGATAACCTGCACAGAGGTCTGGGACTCAGTGTTGTATCTGAGCGTGCCATGTCTGGAAACGGCAACCCCTGCCCCAGCCCCGGAGGTCTGGGCACCCATTTAGGGGGCTTCCCTATGACGCACTACCCTTACTTCTTTCCTCATATGCTAGGAGGGCTCTCCCCTCCAGCGCTTTCAGGACTTCCTGTCAGTGGATACAGCACTCCATCTCCTGCAAGTGAGTACCCTTTTTTTCTGGTGTGAAACTTCTGTGTCTTGCTATCAGCCAATGCATTCAGGTGTGACACACTTAAAGACATTTACATTTACATTTATTCATTTGGCAGACGCTTTTATCCGAAGCGACTTACAGTTGTGAAATACAACAAGCGATGTATCATAAGATGACAATGAACATGAGAAGTGCCCGTTATACAAGGTTTCAGTCATCGTTCAAAATAGTAAAAAGCTAGGACTAGAGGATAATAAGAAAACAGAAAATGTGAAGGCATAGCATTTTTTTCTTAATTATTATTGTTATTGGAGGCAGTTAGATGCTCACGGAAGAGATGAGTTTTCAGTTGTTTCTTGAAGATTGTGAGGGATTAGGCTGTTCGGATGGAGTTAGGTTTACCGACCGCAGGCTTCTGGAGGGGATGCAGATGCATAGAAGAGAGCGGAGGTAAGGTGCGGAGCCTGTGCAGTTCTGCAGGCAAGCAAGTTCTGTAGCAAATCTTGAACTTGATGCGAGCCGCGACTGGAAGCCAATGCAGAGAGATGAGAAGCGGTGTGACATGGGCTCTCTTGGGCTTATTGAAAACGAGACGTGCTGCTGCATTCTGAATCATTTGCAGAGGTCTGATTGCACATGTTGGAAGTCCAGCCAGAAGAGCATTGCAATATTCCAACCTAGAAATGACAAGCGGCTGGACGAGAAGCTGTGTTGCATGCTCTGCTAGGAAGGGTCTGATAAAGAATGGTGCATGGTGTATTGTGAAAAGTACAAGACGTACGTACTAAATAAACTCCTGTTACCTGATGTTTATCATGCAAAGCGGCACAGCACATTTAAACCTAAAAGAAACAGTTCACCCAAAAATGAAAATGATGTCTTTTTTTTTTAAATATAGTTTACTTTCTCCATACTGTAGTTCATAGAATGGAGGCCAGTTTCTGCCTCAGCCTACTCTACAGGGTAATTTTATATTTCAAAATGTGACTATCACAATTGTGACTTTTTTTATTTTAAAAAATATCTCTCAGTTGCAAAGTTATCTTTTTTTTTAAACTATTTTATGCCACAGTGACCAGGGACTAACAAGCTCCAGAAAGGATGAAAAAATATAGCGCTAAATGCATTACCTCTCAAAATTTGAGAGTCAATGAGATTTTTTAGAATCTTTTTGAAAGAAGTATTTTATGCTCACCAAGGCTGAATTTTATTTGATGTATTTTTTTATTTTAATATATTTTGAAATGTATCTTATTTCTGTGATCCTTCAGAAATCTTTATAATATGCTGATTCGATGCTGATTATCAATGTTGAAAACAGTTGTGCTGCTTAATATTTTTGTGGAAACCGTGATATTTTTTTCAGGATTCTTTGATGAATAGATGATTACACTCCTATCAAATGAAATCTTCTGTGTGATGACCAGTTGCAAAGTTATCTTTTTTTTAAAACTATTTTATGCCACAGTGACCAGGGACTAACAAGCTCCAGAAAGGATGAAAAAATATAGCGCTTAAATGCATTACCTCTCAAAATTTGAGAGTCAATGAGATTTTTTAGAATCTTTTTGAAAGAAGTATTTTATGCTCACCAAGGCTGAATTTTATTTGATGTATTTTTTTATTTTAATATATTTTGAAATGTATCTTATTTCTGTGATCCTTCAGAAATCTTTATAATATGCTGATTCGATGCTGATTATCAATGTTGAAAACAGTTGTGCTGCTTAATATTTTTGTGGAAACCGTGATATTTTTTTCAGGATTCTTTGATGAATAGATGATTACACTCCTATCAAATGAAATCTTCTGTGTGATGACAGAATTCTATTTTTTTGGGTGAACTGTCTCTTTAAGATTGAGTTTTATCTAAAAACCAGAGGGGTAGTAGTAGCTGTGATTGGTCTTTTACATATGTGCTCGCTACAGTTTAATTAAGGGATGTAAATCTGTTCTTGACAATATGGTGACTGCTGTTTTTGTGTGTAATTTACAAATCACCCACTGATCATATTAAGCCTTAGGAGACCCTTGATTAAATACTGTTAAAGTCCAGCTTTAATTTTTAAACAACCACTATGGGACCATTTTAAAAACCCGTTGTTGGAGATATAGTCTAGCTTTCATAACTGTGGAATTTGTCTCTTCATATTTTTTGAAAATCTATTTCAGCATAGCTTGTGTGTGCATAAATGTATGAAATACGGTTTAAATCTATATGTTAGAGTGACTGACTATTTAAAATCCCTCTGAAGTTTTGGTTCATTGGTGCTTGTGATCTGACAGATGTTTTTATGCTCAACTTTATGCTCTTCTCCGCTAACATGCATTAAATTTGATTATAGCCCAAACACATTATCCTGCTGTTCCATAAGACCTTGATGTGTCAGATCTCATTGGTTTATTCAGGTTATCTCTGCTATCTGTTGTTTGGCCTGTTCTGCACTTTGAGGTGCAAAAACCACCGGAATGTTCCTGGGCAAAACTGAGATGCCATGCTGCCCACAGTGCCTGGGGTTATGAACGCCCTTATGTGAACTAGACCTGTATGTGTTAGCTCGGGTCTGTTTGTGCATGCGAGATTTGCATGCGAGTACTTGATGATTACTGAATGAAACATTAAAAAGCATGGTTTCTTCATAGCTTCTTAGCAATAGTATTTCTTGACAATATTTGAGATATATTTTGATATTTGTGTCAAGTTTAAGTAAGCCCGTTCATTAGGGATGTAACGATTAACTGCGAGCCGGTTGAAAATCGATTCAAATATGTGACGATTCAAATCGGTTGAGATGCTAAACAAATCGCGATTCATTTAGGTGTAGGAGTTTATATGAATGCATGTCTGAGGGAAACTTACTGTCTTTAGAAAAGTTTAGATGGTATTTTTTCTTTTCATCTTGCCTCTGTATAACGCATATTAAAGAAAGAGCAGTAATATGCAAGTGCTATATTAGTATATTATTATAGTGTTATATTTCAATTTCACAAAGAAATGTGCAGCATTTTGTCCAAGCAATAATAAAAGGACACATTTAATTTATAATTTGTCTTAAATCTCATTTTGTTAAAAAAAATTATAATAACCGTGAATCGAATCGAATCGTGAAATCAAAATCGTGAATCGAATCGAATCGAATCGTGAGTTGAGTAAATCGTTACATCCCTACCATTCATAGGTCATTTCCACAGAAAAAAATTTAAATTGCTGCACTTTCAAAACATCAGTTTGTTTGCGTATCCCAACCAGCCCAAAGAAACACTGGCTCAACCAATAGTGTGAATTTGCGGGCAGGACTACATTTTTAAGTACAGTAGACAAGACATGCCAAAACTTGAATGAAAACAGCCAATTGGAGTAATGACGCAAATCACAGAATTAAAAATGACAGTTTGAACTGATTCACAGAAAAGAACCAAACTCTTACTCTATTTTTGCTACTGCTATTAAAGAAAACAGCCATTTTGAGTAATGACACAAATCACTGAATCAAACGTTTTAATTGATTCATTTTAAGAATGACCGTTTGAAATGATTCAAACACGTAAATAAACCAAACTCTTATGCCAATTTTTGCTACTGATGTTTAAATCTGAGATGCTATTAAAATACTGTCACAAAACTTGGAGAATTTAGTGGCCAAATAAAAAGTGCATGTAAATCATCACAGTGTTTACTATGCTGCTTATTTTATTTCATGCAAAATCATCAAACTTACAGCATAGATATTAATATATTGGCAAGCAAGACCATAATGAGTAAATTATACAGCAGGACGATTTCTAGTCCTATCTTCAGTCGTAGCTTTCCAATCAACCCTGGCGAGAGGAAGAGTTGTCGTGTTGTTCTGTGATCTGTGGAGACATTCCCGTCCACTTTGCACACTTGAAACGACAGTACATAATGTTTTGACTCTGTGGGTGGGAGTGCATCTACTGATGCAGTGGCTGCCACCAACCGCCGTCGGCAGGGAGGCTTTGGCAGTCAGTCAGCGGCAGCTCTCTTCTGGGCCCGGAGCTACTAATGTGCCTCTCTGCATAGTGCTATATGACAAACAACCCTCTGACGCTCTCGGGGGCTAATTATTACACACCCCCTGCTGACTTGCAGAAAGACTCCGCACGTTGTCAGGCGAGAAAAGGCGTGCAGCAAAAATTTGGTGCCCCATGTGAGAAAAGGGGGTTGGGGGGTGTTGTGGGAATGTTATTATTTTGCTTCCAGAGGATGATGCAAAAGTTTGCATGGGATGACCTCTGGTAAACCTATTAGTCAGGGAGACATCGTGAAACCCAAATAAGTTTGCTGGTTTGGCTTTGGGTGGTGTATTTGCATGAGGTCCAAATAAGAGAACACGGATCGATAGTGTGCATAGCATTTATTTATCATCTTGCACAAGAGGTGGGATATGGAATATGGATGGATATGGAGGTGCCTGTTATTGTCGAGCTCTCCTAACTTGACTTAAACAGCCACTAGAAGGAATCCCCAAGGTGCTTCTTGTCACTTTCCGTGCTGTAATGATGTGTCAACTGCCAGGCACAGAATTCAAGCAGCTGCAAGGTACGGTGATTAGATTTGGGCTCGCGGAAGTTATGCAGAGCTAGCAGACTTCAACCTCCAATTTGGGCATCTTAGTTAGCATGATATGTGAGTGTTTCAGTGTGGTTTCTAGAAAGGAAGTTGAAAGGTGGACGTCTGTCCTTCTAATAAAGACTGAAAGTGAGTCTAAGTCTGATTCTCATGTATGTACAAAGTTTATTAGTCTCGGCACTGCAGTTATGAATTGCTCAGCTCTCACGAGAGGCTTTGTACACTAAAAAAGCAAGTGACCAGATTTCACAAAGTGTGAGTGAATTATGACATGAATGACTCGGCCCTTTTTGAACACTTCTGGGGTCTGCTAGACTCAATTGGTTTCCGTTAGTGTCTGGCCTGGAAAATGTTATTTTTTGCAATTCAGCATACTGCACTGCCAAAACTGTGCTTCCAAAATGCACATGACATT